GCTGGCTGCAAGGCAGGGTGGCACATGGCAGAGGGCAACCATTCAAGGCAACGCAGCACAGCAAAGGCAACAAGCACTAAGGGGAGGAATGGTGGCAAGCAGCCTCTTTCTCTCCCTTGCATATGTAAACTGTTCACCCCTGGCCGGGTGTAGCTTTCACACTTACAATCAATCAAACTGTGAAAGCCTGCCCCATGACTGCATGAGGCTTTGGGGGCACACCCAGACACAAACTATAACACCATCAGATAGTAACTCTGCATTCTGCTGTAACCTCTGCTCTCTGTTCTGTCTCTGTGAATTTGCCTGTCGACTGTCTCATATAAGTAGATATTAAAGTCTTCATCCCTTTGGATATCACATTTTTAACCATTCATCCATCAGTGGGCCCTTGGGTTCTTGTGACTGATTTTGCTGGGAGCATTAGTGTCCAATGTCTGTTAAGTTCCTGTGTTCAATTCTCAGTATGTACCCACAGATGGAATTGCTGGATCTTATTGTAACTGTTTAATTTTTGCTTGTAGGATTAATTTTTATAACTGGAATTTACTTTTATCAAAGTTGCTTATTAGTACCAAGCTAATGTACTAATTTTAGAATATTTTAAAAATTTTCCATCTTTTTTCTTTTTGGCTTTTTTTGAGATGGCATCTCACTATGTAGCCCACTTGGGGCTCAAACTGACAGTAATTCTCCTGCCTCAGCTTCTTGAGTGCTGGGATTACAAGTGTGTGCCACCATACCTAGCTTTTTAAGGATGCTTTGCAAATTTAAATGATGTAGTAGTACCATTAATAAACATTATATTTAAAATCTCTTTGGGAATTCCCCTATACTAGGAAGAAAGGAAAAAAAAATAACTAAAGAGCTAGAAAATCCCCAAGGGTTAGGAGGTAATTTTAAGTGTTAGTTTACTTTTTTCTTCCTGTGGTACTGTGGATTGAACCTAGCACCTTCACACTGAGCTATGTGCCCCCCTTTTTTATTTTTTGAGACAGGGTCTCACTAAATTGCTAAATTGCCAAAACTGGGCTTGAAATTATAATCCTCCTGCCTCAGCTTTCCAGAGTGCTGAGATTACAGGCATACACCACCATGTGCAGCGAAGTTACTGTTTTTTAGATGTAACATTAAAAGGGAAATAACTCTCGTTTTGCTAATAGGTAGAAGACCAAATGAACAGGCTCCGTTCTCCAAGTTGCCGCTCTGTCTCTGTCAGATGGCAGCAGCTTAGTGCAGGTGTGCAGGAGCCCCTGCAGGCCCCAGCCCAGGTCCCATCCTTGTTCCATAATGACCGGCTCCTGGTGTATGGATGGGTTTCTCACTGCACGCAGGTAAGAGGATGCACTGTTTGTTATACTGTGGGCCGGGCGTGGTGGCACATGCCTGTAATCCCAGCACTTGGGAGGCTGAGGCAGGAGGATTGTTGCAAGTTCAAAACCAGCCTGGGCTACAAAGTGAGCTCAAGGCTAGCCTGAACTGCATAGCGAGACCCTGTCTCAAAAAGACAAAAA